AGTATACTTGCAGTATAAAACTACTAAACTAGTAGTTTACTAAGACTACTTCAAAGTGTACTAAAAATGCTACTACAAGTATTTAATTAGAAAACTATCAGTATTCATATAACTTAACTTTTAGTATAGTTGCAGTACAAGCTAAAAAATATTGTTGTAAACTAGTTGTGTGCTTAAAGTTTACTACTGTTATACTTAAAGTATACTTTTATATACTAGAAAGTGGGCCAATTTAGTCCCAAGGAGTATTGAAATAGTACACTTACAAGTATACTACTAGTACTCTGATATTTGTATACTTACTACATAAAGTATACTTAAAAATATACTTGACTTTACTTAAGTATACTTAATAAAATAAACTTGAAGTATACTACTTTTTGGTAAGGGGATCCAGACGATATTGAGCTCCAAAGCCGTCAATGGAGAGGTCGGTGTCCCGTTCACACTCGGTGAGCCACGTTTCAGTAAATGCCATGATGCAGCAGTTCCTAAAATCCTTCTGGTAACGAACATTTCCCTGAAGTGCATCCACTTTATTCCTCAGGGACTGTACATTTCCCATAATAACCCGGGTAAGCCGCTGCTTCCTCAGGCGTAATCTAACTCCACCTCGTTTGCCCCTCTTGCTCTTCTTTTCCACACTCCTTGGCCCATGAAAATCTCTCAAAATAAAGTTTGGTAACTCCAGCCTAAAGTCCATTTCCCGTGCTAAACTAACGAGGAATATTGTGTCCTCCCGTGGCATACAGTCCCACGGATGTTGCAGGCCAACAACAAATACTAAAAAAGCCACAGCGCGACGAAATAAGAAAAATCAATTTTAGCCAACTAAATCCAGGAGCACTTGTTCATGTGATCAAACAAAATAAAAACGTTAAAAAACAGATGAAAACACATAAAACATCAACACGAGGACGCCAAACTATCATTAACTGCATGCACATGTAATAATATTTGACAATATTGCTGGTTATTTTTACAGTATTTTTGATCAAATAAATGTAGCCTTGCTGAGCATAAGATACTTCTTTAAAACATTTGAAAAATCTTACTGACCCTAAACTTTCAAACAGTATACAGTAAATAACAATGTATATATATATATGGAATAGTTATTTTTATACTCCCATATTGTGCATTTTTATTTATATTGCTGAGCATGCTGATTGTCATAATATTATTATGTAATTTAAAGGGATAGTTCACCCAAAAAGTGAATATCCTGTCATCATTTACTCACCCTCAGGTTGTTCCAAACCTGTTTGAGTTTCTTTCTTCTGTTGACCAGATGCTGATGTCTGTAACCAAACAGTTAACGGTAGCCACTGACTTCCACAGTATGGAAAAAATAAATACTATGGAAGTCAGTGGTTACCGCCAGATGTTTAGTTACCAACATTCTTCAAAATATCTTCTTTTGTGTTCAATAGAAGAAAGAAACTCATACAGGTTTGGAACAACTACTTGGTTGAGTAAATGACAGAATTTTCATTTATGGGTGAACTGTCCCTTTAAGAGCTGTTTTGGATTAGTTCATGCCAGCATATAAGGATCTGAAAAATAAAGTGCAATAAAGAAAAGAAAAGTAAATATCGTAACGCAGCAGTATTTATAATGGGGTAGCGTTGCTGCTGTCGTCTTGTTGAAATGTAGTTTAGCAGTATTGTTACAGTACAGTAATATGTTAAGTAGTGCTGCTGTAGTGATGTGTGAGATCTGTGATTGTAATGATATGCATGTGTTTCTCAGGTGAATGGTGTGGATCTGCGGGCAGCTACACATGAACAAGCAGCAGCTGCATTGAAGAATGCAGGACAGACTGTGACCATCATTGCTCAGTACAGACCAGAAGGTCAGAACACACACACGCACGCGCACACACACACACACACACGCACACACACAGAGCAAACGCTCAGGACTGTGTGTTGCAAGTATTGTGGGGGCGGTCACAAAAAAGGCAGAGAGCAGTGTCCCGCATATGGAAAGACGTGTCGATCATGTGGTGTATTGAATCATTTCGCCAAGGTGTGTAAAGCCCGACAGAGAGCCGACAGGACAGGCAGAGTTAATGTAATGATGGATGATGGTCAGGATGAGCAAGGACCCTACCGTGAGGGTTGGCTTTTCACTGCTGAGGAATGCATTGACACAGTAAGTCCCGTAGACTTAGGACGGGACTTCCCATGGAAAACAGTTTACTTTTCCCCAAGGTGGTAGAAGGAGTTTCGGAGAAACTGAGGTGGAAACGGCGGCACACACACGCGCGCACACACACACACACACACACACACACACCTGACTGAACAATCTTGCACATTGGGTCCAAAATTGACACTCGCCAAATGTGGGTAAAAAAATAAAATATTAATGGACAGTGCATAGTTGATCTATTAGGAATTGCAAAATAACACACTGAATGTGTGCTTGTGCTGTATTTCTTTAAATTTAAATGTCACTTCTTAGATATTTTGTTATATAATGCAAATACATTTATACATTTTTAATTCTGGCTCAAGTGTCCAAACTTTTGAGTCCACTGTATACATTACCATTCAAACGTTTGGGGTCAGTAAGTGTTTTTTTTTTTTTTTTTGAAAGAAAGTAAAACTTTTATTTAGAAAGAATGCTTTAATCCGATCAAAAGTGACAGTAAATACATGTATAATGTTACAAAATGTTTATATTTCAAATAAATGCTGTTGTTTCGAATTTTCTATTCATCAAAGAATCCTGAAGAATAAAATGTATCACAGTTTCCACAAAAATATTCGGCAGCTAAACTGTTTTCAACATTGATAATAATCAGAAATGTTTCTTGAGCTGCAAATCAGCATATTAGAACGATTTCTGAAGATCATGTGACACTGAAGACTGGCGTAATGATGCTGAAAATTCAGCTTTGATCACAGAAATAAATTATATTTTAACAGATATTCACATAGAATATGGTTATTTTATATGAAAAAAATATTTCACAATTTTACTGTTTTTACTGTATATTTATTCAAATAAATGCAGCTTTGGTAAGCAGAAGAGACTTCTTTCAAAAACATTTTAAAAATCTGAAAAAATGTGAATTCTAGTGTATATGGAATAGATATTTTAGACTCTCACACACACCACATCACTCTGCAAACTGACACAAATGGTTGATTTCTTATGAATGTAGCTCTTCTGTACTGTGCAGTGTTGGATAAGAGTTGTGTTTGTTTGTGCAGAGTACAGTCGATTTGAAGCTAAAATTCATGATCTCAGAGAGCAGTTGATGAACAGCAGTATGGGCTCTGGAACAACTACATTACGAAGTAACGCTAAACGAGGATTTTATATCAGGTAAACATACAACACACACTACAACTACAGATGACCAGCCCTTCAGTCTTTTAGTCTTCTGTTACTTTGAAAGGTGGAAAGAGCTCTGGACTGGCAGTTAACATGCACACACTAAAATAGACGTCACATGTACAAATCTGGCTTACAATATTACTGTAGTTTCAAATCCATTACCCTTGTCTTCTCTGCATCATTTCCTCTCCTCTTTCTACTAAACTACAGGTCAGAGTAGAATACTGCCATGTATACTCTGTGCAATATGATACTTTTTGGTATGTAAGCCCTTGTGAAAAAAAATTACGCTTTAGCATACTTAAGTGAAAATACTTAAGTGTGAACTGAATGTGAAGTTTTCGGACATTACATTTCATGTTAATTGCAATTACATAAAAATGCATTATAGTGCAAATTTATATTAAATGCAGTTAGTTGAACTTAAAAGTGCTTTTCTGTCTCACTTAAGTAGGACTTAAGTGCATCTTTATATGTCATTTTATAATTACTTGTATTGTCTTTGAAATATAGTTAAAGTGTACTACTGAATGTACTGACAAACATTAATGGTGAAATAAAATATACTGTAAATATAATAAGATACCACAATATAATGCATTATCTATTGAAGCTTGAATGTAATGTATTTAAATATATTTGTAATTGCTCATTTGTAATAATGGAGTTGCAGTTTAGTACATTTAAAATATTTTAACCTTAAATGTCAAATAAAGCAATATACAGTACTTCACATGTGCTTTAGTATGTTAGTCAACACTTCAAAATTAGTGTCCTTCTTGATAAAAGATTATTAAATCATAATGAGTTAAAATGTACTTTATTAGTTTGACGTTACAAAGTTCACTTTTTAAAAGTCTACTTAAGTGTGTTAAGAAACAGTCATGAATGCACTTAAGTGGCCTTTTATTTGGTTAACATTATCTACATTTACAGTCTTAAAATATACTAAGATTTAAAGTACACTACAAGTGCACATTCATTACAGTTAAGCACACTTATTTTTCCACAATGGTGGATTTCCCAGATAACCTACAACATTTGCCAAAATGATCAGTATATATATCAGTATATAAGCAGAGCACACTGCTTATACTGTATCCCATAATCCCCTGCTCTCAACTTGACCTTCCACGTGTGAAGAATGAACTGGATGCTATATACACAGCAATGCTAACATCTCTTTCTCAATACTTAAGTGCTCATATTGAAGTGTTTAAGATGGGATCACGTGAGAACAAGGTTTATCTCTGAATGCCGTTTAACATAGTCAACACTGCACAGTGTGCGAAAGCAGAAGGCTAGTGTTCCATTCTGAACAGAGCTGATTAATAAAAATGAAAAAAGGCCATAAATAAAAGGTCTGTGTTGCTCAATTTCAACCTAATTCCATGCTTTTCCTTTGATGTTCTTCCTTTTCAACCCCTCTCTCTCTCTCTCTGTCCCCCTTTATCCTCTCTTTTTCCCCGTGACTTATGTTCTCTCTCTCTCTCTCTCTCTGTTGTTTGGCAGGGCTCTGTTTGACTATGATAAGACGGCAGACTGTGGTTTCCTGAGTCAGGCCGTGGGCTTTAGGTTTGGAGATGTGCTGCATGTTTTGGACTGTGGAGATGAGGAGTGGTGGCAGGCCTGCAGACTCAGCCCACAGGGGGACGAGGAGGAGGTCGGCTTCATCCCCAGCAAGAGGAGGTGTGTGTGTGTGTGTGTGTG